CCCCAAAACCCCAAAACCCCAAAACCCCAAAACCCCAAAACCCCAAATTTTTTAGTGCAAATTGAATTTTACAATTTTTTATATGTGTCAAATAGTGTTTTAACATACTTCTTGGCCTTAGCTCTTTTAGATTTCTTAACTTTATCAGCTAAGAGCCCTTGTTCAACGCAATTGAGTTGGTTAATGATTTTGCTTCTTTGGTAGATATCTAAAATCATATAGAAACCTTACTCCTCTCTACAAGATAAGCTTTGATTAGTTCTATATATTTCACTAATTCTGACTCTCTTGGCAATGACTTGAATAAAGATGGGGAAATTTGGCGAATATCTGCTATCTCAAGGTGCTTGATTTGGATATTAGGAGCTGCGATAGATGCCTGAGATCCCAGTCTAAAACAACCAGGAGGCGACACATCCCTTTCGTCGTTTCAAAACTCGTTTTTATGATGCTGTTCATGCTCAGATTGTTTAAAACTGAGTTGGTAGATTATCTGAAGAACTCTCTTTAGCTTCTCCTGGATTTTCCTAACGTTGTTGTTTACCCTAGAATTCGAGCTCTCAACGACGATCTCTAGAGGGGATATTATCCTTGAATCTGGTTGCTTGGGAGCCTTGGAATTTATACTTTTACCATACTTCATGTACAACGTTTTGATTCTTTTCAATAGTTGTTCATGGATTCTGAGTGTAATTTTAAAGTAAAAACTTGAGTTTGCTATTTTATGAACCTTGAAGCTATTCCGTCAGTCTCTAAGGCACATGGAGAGATAGACCTAAGTGCATTCAGGCGAAATACTACAGATTAACTGAAGTTTTACCTTCCTTTACCACCAATTTCTGCTTATTTGTTAAGCTTTGTATTCAGAGATCTGTTCAAAAATTTAAGGTTTCTCTTTTGTAGCCTTGAATTTGGAATTCTACTAAAGAAACGAAGAATCGAGCTATTCAGAGAATTTTGAAAGGAAGTAACCTGAGGCTTTTGTTTCTGTTGCTGGCTGCTACACCTCTTCTCAGATCTCCTGTTCTGGCTCTTTCTTATTTGAGGGAGGTTAGGCATGTTGCCAAATTTATGAAGAGATACTGAAATCGGAACATTTTGGACCACTTTTTCCGGTTTTCTCAACTTCTTTCTGTTTTTATAGGAATAGTTGAAAATAGACACTGGAGGGCTTTTTGGAGGTAGGCAGACCCTTTCCTCATCAATACTCTGCTTACTTTCCCTCAGAGGGATGCTTCAGTCCATGCTTGACGTAGAAGATAGTTTCCTAGAGATTTACAGAAGAAGGGCTCACCTTGATGAGGAATCAATTTCGACCTTATTTATCAACATCTAGCTTTTGATTAAAGATACTGAGCTTCGGATAGGTAGGGCTAAGCCTACTGGGTATTCAACAAGAGTTCTCTTTCGGTGATGGATCAACACTTCTAATTTTATTCGCGTTTAATTTCAATGTATCTAGGTGTTAGACTCTGTGCTTACTTTCTGTTCTTGAAAAGTCTAAAGTTGTCAGGGTCAACTCCTCTTTGGACGAAGTCGATGTTATTTAGTAATAGAACGTTTGAAATCCTTCAGTTGTTGCTTGGCACTATTTTCATTGATTATCTTTATCTTCTTCATAGAATTTGACTAGGAGAATCAGTCTTGTATAGCTTACAGCTTTACTATGTGTCTGTTCTTTTAGAGTCTTTAGCCAGTTCATGAACGGAGGTCCGTGATTCTGACTATCTGGCTTAGCGGAAGTTGCAGAGGGGTTTCCGAGGGATTCTGAAGAGGAAACAACCACTATTTGCTTCTTTTCCTCGTACTTATGCCCAGGCTCTTTAGAATTATTCAGAATATATTACTTTCTCATTTGAGAACTTTTGTCTTATCATAGAGATTTCCAGTGAGCTCCCATTGAGTGGCTAGTTCTTTGAATGCTTTTCTTGTTCTAGAAAGTTCGTATAAGAAGTTTCAAAAATTCACTTAAATACTTACTCGTTAAGCAAATCTTGAGACTTATCAATGTCTTTATGAACTTTATCTTCTAAAGAAACCATATCAACAAAATTATGGAATAAAATCCAGCCTTAGAATCTACTCATAGCTTGAAATCCTTCTCCGCTGGTAAGGTGTTATTCTAATTGGTTACTAGGACCACCAAGTAGTGAATATGTACCTTTAATGGGCTTCATTTTATTCAATATTTGATTTAAAAGTAGGGGTTTTGGGGTTTTGGGGTTTTGGGG